ACAGGGATATTAATATAGAAAAGCATGACTCGTAAGTAACGAGTTTTACAAGACTCAATTTCAATTTTCATCAACGTTGGTCTTCTGAAGATTTTCTGTCCTCGTTCTTTCTATGGAATCGAGAGAAAGAGACAACTCCCTATTAATCGTTTTAGTGAAACGACTATACCGTGATATTTTTGTTCTCCAGAACAGACAGTAAAGCAATGTTCATTCCGACAGACGGAAAGCCGATATATTGCAAAGTAAGAGATGTCATTATCCATCCGGAGTATGAATTTGAGACGTACAATTCCATAGCTATATTAGAACTGGCTATAGCATATTACCACCGTAAGATTTTTCATTCTTACTTATGTAATTTTACCATGCTGATGAGTTGATTTGTCTGAACGTAATCATTTTAATAAAACACTTTAACGGTTTAAAACGCAATATAATAGTTAAACTTATTTGAAAAAATTCGGATGCTTTACAGCAGCAGTGGTCACAGAGGGGAGGGGGGGGTTTCGAAATCATTTTCAAATAAGTTTAACTAATATATCGCGTTTTAAACCGTTAAAATGTTTTATTAAAATGTGTACTACTCGCGGAAACTATAGACAGTATTGAACGTAATAATTTCTGTGACTCGGGCTCGAAGGTTCAATACAATAACAATCAACGAATCGTGGATTCGATTTCCACCCGGGCCAAAATGATTCTAAATAGCAACTTAAAAGTTTTCTTCGTGTAATACATTCGCGTTTCGATTTCAGTGTGTGAATCTGAATTTTCAAAGCCTCTTTTAAACTCTGCGTTCGAGAGATCATGATGGGACCACATGCAACAGTAGATTTTAAATATTAATATAAATACAAAAAGTGTTATGTACTTATTTATTGTTATAGATCAATTTACAAACTTTAAACCGATATGTTGGCCAACTTACATGTTTAACGCTTCTACATATCTGTACGCTGTGGGTTATATTGATGGTGAGACATTTTTTATCATACCACAAATCGCTAATTAATGTATAAAAGGTGACAGAGAGGTAACAGACAAACCCAAACTTGTACCTTTAAATAAATTAATCTCTACAACAACATGGTAACTCAATTAGTAATAGCAGCAGCACGAAACGCTGTGGATGCCGGTTCAATTCCCGCCCGTGCCCTATTTTTTTTTTTAATCTAACATTGACTTTTAATGTAGACAAAGAAAAAATGTTCAAGTTATAAGTATTCACATTCAAGTGTTAACTTAGTTCGTATTATTGGATTAATATTACAGAGAATAAATTATTAGAGAAAGCAATATATAAAATGCAGTATGTGAGTCGGCCCTTATGTGAGGAATTTTACAACCGTGCCGACGTATGTACTTTCACTCCATATTATTATTTTTACTAAATAAGACAAATAACGAGAGAATATATTCAAGCTTACTTAACAGTTGACCGCCACCGTAACAGCTACAAGCATTTTCTATATTAGCTTAAACGTGACAGGTTCTGAGTTGGCATCCTGAGAAAAACTTCATCATGTCAATGTGAAGTACATATGATAGTTATTAATTTTAAGTAGGGCCCGACGTTTTGGATGCTTTGCAGTAGCCGTCGTCACGGGGGGGACTCGTTTTAAACATTTTAAACTGTTAAATTTTAATTTATACTACTTACCGAAACTACACGCACTGATGTTGAATTGATTAATTGATTTATGAATGAATAACGTAAATTCTGGCTCACTGTAGGTGGCAAAAGAAACATTACCCCAATATCAATGTGGCTACGCTTTTAACAATAAGAGAAACTGTCAATGGGATAATGGTATGATACTTGCGTCCAATACGACAGGAGTTTGGACTATCGTAAGTATTCAATATGATAAAAGTTTAAAAATCTATTTGAATTGTCTGATCTGTGTCGAAAATATCGACACAGACGGGACTTGAACCGGCATATACAGCGTTCAGCACTGCTGCTCAAACTACATTGAGCTACAGTGCCCCGCCGTTATTGTTTTTTAAATCTAAATATAACAATCTATTTATAAAATGCCATCATGTTCAATAACATGTGAAAAATATTGGTTTTCAAAACAATTTTAATCCGGCCTAAACACGAACTACATTATTTTCTTAAGTATCTCAGTGTTTTCGAAAACTCAAGTAACGTCTTGTCGAAACGTTAATTTAGTCATATACTCGTAGTTCGCATTTGAAACCGTTTTTTAATGTTTTATTTGTAACCTGCAAAAAATATATCTTTTCAATATCGAAGTTTTCTTTTTAAATAATCTGTAATAATTAAATGTTAAAGTTTAATGTAAATTCAATGCACAAGAGGTGTTTGTATAAACGGTTTAAGAAGAAGACGGGTGTAACACGGTAGCTCAATAAGTTAGAGTAACAGCACGGATCAAGTCCCGCTCATGGCATCGTGTTAGTCTAAATAGATTTTAATAAGTTAAATTTCAGATAGGCTTTGGCCTCCACGGGCCCGGTTGTGCAGCCCCAGCTCGTTTCATAGACATCTTCCCTTATCTAACTTGGATTGAATCAGCTACAGACGTGGTTGAAGCGAGATATGAGTGAAAAATATATTTTTAATTATAGTGTGCTAAACAGTATTTTTTTAAATCACAGTTATCGTGTTTAAAAGATTTTTAGTTGATTATTTTATTAGGAAATTGTTTTTCTTTCAATATATAAATTTAAGAAGGAACAAGAACTTACGTTTATGCTAAGTTTTGTTAAACTTCAATATTTATCGTTAAGAGAAAGCACTGATTAGTTTTATTACAAGAATAATGTCCAAAAATAAAATCCATGAATTACATTGGTCTTTGTAGCTAAATGGTTAAACGCAATACTTAGCACTGCATCGAGCACGAGAGAACCTTTTTTTGAAATCCCGGCGATACAATAAATTGTTTCAGTCGCAAGGCACAAAAGCTTATGAATAAAAACGATCAATAAAACGGGCACAGAAATGTTTTCGCCCCACAAGGGCAACACAAGCATTTTAATAGACAAGATTTTAAGTCGACTAGTTGAAGGGAAATGTGGAAACCCTAAAACTTAATAGGTCGAAACTTACGATCCTTTGAATTACCAAAATAAACCGAATAGGCTAAAATCAAAATCAAACCGTAGGCCTGTATTTGAGGGGTTCGTAATAGCTTGTATAAAATGTCTTTTTAACTGTTATTATAGGTAATTTAACGTATAATTAGGTTTTACTGACATAATATGATTAGAGTTTCAATTGCAGTGTAAAAATTTACGTTTCTAACCTTAAAGCTAACGTACGTAATTTATTGTGTATATAAGAAATACCCTAAAATCAAACTCAAAAATTATCTATTGTTTTCAGTGTTGTGCAGATAGAGACAGCTATTCCCTACACAAGGGCAAGCCTGTGTCGTGGATGACTAGTCTCTTCCAGGTTATAGGTTACAATAAATAAAAATATCTAAGCTAACTTATCTCTACTATTCTAGACTATTTGAGTGAATATTGGCATGTTGCGTGTGCTAGTGTATAAAGTGAGTGGAACGTTATGTATGTAAACCTGCTAATAACTGTGATAATCTAAAATGACTCGTCGATCGTATGGTAGAATGTATAGATAATTAAAAAATCTAAAAACGTAATGGGGAAATCTAGACGTTAAATGGGAAAGAAATTCTGTCCGAGAACTGCCATGCTCAGATGGAAGAATCGCGGAGTGTACATCCTCGTTTCGATTACAGAATGTTCAAAGACAAAATAGGTGGATAGTGCATCTTACCGCATCCAGTGAACTTCGTGCATTTTTCTCCTCCACCATAAGACTTGATGGATTCATAAAGGTATCATAAAACATCGTTTACAAACTCGATGCCTTGTCGAAGAAATGCCTTAGGCGTTTATATCAAGCTATGGCGAATTCTTGTTAAGGAGAATGAAGTTGATAAAGCTATAACGTCTCCTTTATTAAGTACAATTTGACATGTCATTACGTTATTATAGTAGATTATTTGTATATTATATATACATAACAATATTAAACCTACAATTAATGTATAATTTCAAACTTATTTAATAAATTATTATGAACTTTAAGGGAAACTATTTTATTGTGAAATCTTAATGGTTAAAATGAAGCCTGAACCACATTTTATTACAAAAATGAATAAATCTAAGTTTTAGTTTTGTATAATACCTCTTTTTGTTCCTCTCATAACTTTTGTTGAATTTTTATATGGCACAATGTTATTCGTTGCTGAACTCCATATTAAAAAATGTTATAATTCTTTTAAAATTGTGTTAAATACACATACCTCACCGGGAATGAACACCAATTTACACATTTAGAATGTAAAACAAGTTGTCTACACCAAACTTTTTTCATTCATTTTAATCGTGTCTGGTTGTAAATTGAGTATTATCATAGTTTTATGCGTTGAGTTTGACATCACTCAAGATGTTGATTCTTCAATGTAAGCTTGTTGATGAGCTATGAATAATAATAAAGGAGACATTGTTTTTACATCAACACACTTAACGCGATCTGAGCTTGAAAATCCACAAGTTTTCTACTACATTTGATACTAATTTATTTTCCTACAATACGTCCGACCTTAACATTTTTTTATGGTATTATTTTCTTGTTTATTGTAATTTTCTATTAATATAAAAAGTTAAATTACAACGCAAAATTAAGGTACGTAAAACATTTATATTATATGAATGTCATCTTTAAACAAACGTTGGCAAATAAAAATGGAAGTGGGTGTTATATACAACCACTCCCATTGTTCTTTATAACTACCTGTAACTATGTTTTGATATAAAAACACAAAAAAAAAACACTGAAGTTATTTTTGTCATTGATTAAAATATAATATAAATACTGCTTTTAGAGGTACTATCGTACAGAGGTACTGACGAGCGTCAGACATTCGTCCCCAATTTTCAAAGATTCGAAGAAAACTTATTCGGATTATCCCCGTCCCACTACGTACCCGTACCTAATCTAAATAATCTTCCAAGAGCGGATGTGCTGTTGTTGTCTTCCTCCCGTAAAATTCCACAAGAATCTTAGCTTCATCTTTGAATAGAAACTTAAAGACTATATGTGCGGTCTTGAATTTTTCGTGTTTTGAATATCTCTCCTTTACAAATAACACCTTTGGCGGGACTGTTTGATTCCTTTTGTACATGGGCACCGTCTGTATGTAAGGGTCTAAGTCCTCTTGATGAAATCCTATATCGTACCAGAGTTTGCTCGGGGTCCGTTTAGTGCAAGACACTCGGACCATGACGCATGTGATTTTCTCGTAGTAGATATCGTAGAGGGAAAACTGAAAAGTGATTTTCTATTGAATAAGGCTTTTGTTATTTTCAAAGATGCTTAGATTGTCGAGCTGTCGTTACAATTGAGAAATAGTTTTCGAGGTGTTGCCATTAAAAATCCCGACCGAAAAGTTCAAAAGCAGAAAGAAGAAAGAAAGAAGCTACTCTTTCGAGTAAAATTCGAATACAAGAATCTAAATAAAACTTATAAGTTCTAATTACTTGAGTAAGTATATAATAATGTTGTCTATAAATAATACTTCTGACTTTATATTCTTTTAAATTAAATTGACAACTAGTTCTTCGCCTATAAGCTCAGTAAATATGCATTTCTATAACAATAATGCTTTAAACATTATAATTGAAATACTACCACATATGTACCGACTGCAGTTAGCCCCAGCGCGTCCAAACGTCCCTCGTCTTTGTACATGATCTCTCCGTCTATATCTGTACATTCACCATGTTTGTCTGTTACTTGTGCTAGGTCTACAACATGCGATAATATTTGTTTATTTCACTATAAACATATTCTAGCATTACAAAAAAAAATCCATTACGATAGACTTATTATATACATATTTCAAATTTATTTTGGATGCGTTCAAACATTACTTTGTAATATGAAACTATATGGTTCTGTTACCGAACGTTCGCATTGCATTAAGCATTGGGTTTTATAAGTCATTTCAGTCAGGTAGGGCACTGAAGGCTGATAAAATACTATCTTTTAAATAATACAGTAAATTGATCTCATATTTTAAGATCAATAAATCAGACCGTCTCTGTAGCTAAATGGTTAAACGTGTTGCCTAGCATTGCGTTAAGCGCGAGAGGTCCTGGGTTCGAATCCCGGGGAAACAGTAAATTGTTTTGGTCGGGCAGGGCACAGTTTATAAAGCAAAGCCTTTCTGTAGACTTGTTTTCACTTTTCAGTGTCTTATCTCTACAATGCTTAGTGTTAAATTTGAAATACAAGTATTAAAGCTTCTAATCCACTAGATTTGTTATCTTTTGATTTTCTTTTACTATGTTAACTATATATGACTAGGTCCAAATATATACCCGGCCTCAATACCATGATAGTATCGTTCAATTTCTCAATAACAAAATCGTCTTCTTTATCCAACTCTTCGCCAGGCATATCCAACGATTTTGTCTCATTTTCGGTTCCTTTTCGACGTGTTTTTATTTCCCTGGGCAGATTTTCATTTATCCATTGAATATAGGGCAGTAAGGGAATGAATCTTGATGGTAACGAACATCCAGGGCCCAAAATGCTGATACCTATCTATGAACAAACATTTTTTTTACGACAAAGTTACAGACAAGCATGGCAGGGCTCACTTAATGGAACGTGAAAATGTATTACTTCTTAACAAGATGCGCTGTCGGCCTATTGCTTAGAACATTCGGAAATACACATCCTGAAACCCTGGTGGTAATCGAACCCACGACTTATTGATAATTAACCATAATTGGGCCCGGTTGAAGTTATATTAGTCTTGTTTTAATTAAAGCCATCTATTATTATAGGACTAAACAATTAAAAATGTAAGTTCTTAAGATTTTAAGTGCTACTAAAGCGTTCGACCATGATACCATGTTTTTACTCAACACGACAAAACATTATGAATGATTGTGATAACTATTGCCAAAGCGACGGCGTACGATGTCGTGAGTTCTAATCCCGCCTGTATCAACGAATTTTTTATTCCGCATATTCTTTTAATATTAGTATAAATAAGGTTAGTCTCCATTTTAAGCGTATGTACTTACCAATGTAGACGCACGCTTGCTCTGTTGCACTAAAGCCATACCAGCATCGAAAACACACTGACTTCGAACGTCTGCCTTCACGCATATTACATTTCTCGGCCATAACGACTTGTAATCTAACTGAAAATTATTAATAATTTGGTATGTTATTACTATTATTGTTATCTAGATGTATATTTAAAAAAATATATATTTTTTAATTTCTTAATGACTTAATTATTATTACAAGAGTTCCGACACATAAACTTGAATATTTCTAATACTTTTATGTAAAAGAAGTTTGTACCTCCTCATTCGTATAAAATTTTAGACAATCAGACTTGTTCACTTTCCGCGCTATATAGGTGTTTTCACTGAAGCCTTTTTCATCTGAAAATTTATATTTTTCCTATTAACAGTAATCATTTTTAAATTGTGTAAGGCTTTCACGGTCATCGTACAGCATATCATTGTCTTTCGAGTTCTTCACTACACACCAATACAATCCGCGCTTGTCAGAGTGTATATAATCTGAGACCGCGGCGGACAACTCATAATTCTTCGAGCAATCGAGGAGTTAACATCTCCTGATGATGCCGTCCACACGTGATGGCGGAACGTCGAGAACCTCTTCGCGCTCACATCGGCCGAACAGCCCGAAAGACAATGATATGCTGAGTAATCATTTTATTACTAAGTACCTTGTGGGTTTTATTTAAGGCTGAAAATTACCTTTTCCAATTAAACATTTCATATTTTAACTATTATAATTTACATATTAGGCCTAACATAGTACACAGGCACACGTCATTTGTTAAATGACGTGTGCCTGTGTACATACATTGTGTGTCTTGTTTTGCCTTAACGATGTAGCTATATAAAAATGTCTTACAATATTTTGATAACACAAAATATAATATAACAGACTTTACAACAGACAGAACTTACAATCTTTCAGTCCCTTGATTAACATGTTATCATTTCCATAAACGTAAGTTTCTTTTGGTAATATTATAAAACTCCCTGTAATTAAACATTGTATATTATTTATGTCATCATTAGATACTAATGAGATAAAACAACGGCTAAAGTAAGTAGCAAACAAAGATATAAAACGTGTGAATATACTTACAATAATTATAAGTACATTTTAAGAATATAAGAGCAATTGTGTTGAAAACGTTTTGGTAATACTCCGGGTGCAGTTTGATATCCATTATGTAACAAATTGTTAAATTATTGTTCGGGTAGAACAGGACATGCGCTGAGGTCCTAGAATATTTATTTCATTAGATGTATAATCTGACTAGAAAAAATCCCTATTATATCCTAACCTTTTGTTTTATGAGTTTTGACGAAGATGACAATAAGGTGGTTCAAAAAAATATATGGAGCTACAAAACTGGGTTTGGCCACCTCCGTAGTGAAATTGTTAAACATGTTGCAATACTAGTACTGATTTAAGCGCGAGATATTTCGGATTCGAATTTCGGGGAAACAAAAAATGTTTCGGTCAAGCCGTGCACAGAATTTTGGTATGTTTGGTTGTACAAAAAAAAAAAAAAAAACAGAAAAAAACATACATTATTAACATTTTAATTTTAACTACGACCCGACATTTAGGATGGTTTGCAGCAGCCGTGGTCACGGAAGACTGAGGACGGAGCTTGTCCGTAGGCCCTAATGTCAAAATTCTGCTACGCTAGCGCAATCTGTTGTCCTCATAACTGGTATTTGGAAAAACTAGCTGGGTCCCACTAAATGTACAATCCAAATAATAAATTAATTTTGGTCTATCGAGTGGCCAATATACCAAGTAACTGACTTATTTCGCGTTTTAGACCGTTAAAGTGTTTTATTTCTGTCACGTATAGGGGTAGAGAACAATATGTTACAATATAAAAACCATTACAAATACATACTCCAAATTTCGTATGCCTGAAATCTCATTCGCTACTCCAATAGCTACTTAACCGTTAAGCCTTTTGATTATCTAGAACAATAACCAAGAACAGATGGCTGAACAAAGTTTTATTAATACAACACAAGTTAAATAAATGTTAGGGATACTTCTTAATACAATACGGCCGATATAACTTGGCAGTCCTGATCTAAGCACAAATTGTAGTACCTCCCATGGTACTACAATTTGTTTACCTATCAGTGTCAACTTAATAATAACCAACTCACCAATTTTTACTTCGAGTATACCAAGCCATGGTACTAACTCAAAAGATAAACCTATAGAACGAGAAATAAAATTATTTAGATTTCTATAGAATATATACATATCGAGTTTTAAATGAAGAAAATGTATTTTATAAATAAACCTCTTATGCGATATAAATTAGTTAAACCTTTGAAAACTTTAATATTTTTCACATGATGGCACTATACTATTTAAAAATCGAAAATAAAGCAACAACAACGCTGACTGACGATGCCGGTTTTAGTCGAAATCTTTTTTTCGATTGTATAGTTTAACCTATTTTGGCGTAACTGGCCGGGCCCAAATTTCAACTACGACGGAACAGATGGCGCTAGCGTAGCAGTCTTTGACATTAGAGATACCCTCCATCTTTATGTTCCCCATGACTACAGCTGCTGCAAAGCATCCGATAAGTCAGCGTCGATCCGTAGTTAATTAATTTTCAAATAAGTTTAACTAAGATATATAGAGTTTTAAAACATTTAAGTGTTTTATTTAAATTCTCTACTACTACTCTCGTAAACTACCGACAGTATTTGAAGAAAAGGAAATTAAAAGTTATATTTTATTTGAAATAATTACCTAAAATCACAATGAATATAACAGCAGTGTATTCCATCACAAATCAAACAAAGAAATAAGAAATGTTTTTACTTTATTTATAATATTGTTTATAAATATTATACGGATATAACTGAGGTGTGTAAACAAAATGCGTAACTGTAAATGAATGTGAATTAACAATGTATTTCTTCGTCAATAATATTATTAAGGCAATAATTTTCCTTTCGTAATTAATTTAAGAAAATGACAGAAACATCACAGTGATATATGAGCGATAAATATGAATGTATTTGCATTGATTAACATAAAAATATTCACTTAACTTAAACATAACACTCTTAACGGTTTAAACAGCTTAAAATGCGAAATATATATATATTTTTAAGAGGCTTTGTGTATTACTTGCTTAAACAAAGAAGAAATATCGGGTGCGTTGAAGCAGCCGTGGTCCCGGAGGGACTGAAGATGGAGTGTGGGTGTGTAATGAGGGTGCGTCGCAAAATGTCCAGCCTTAGTTAAAAATATATAAAGAGTAAACGAATATATTTCGCGTTTTAAACCTTTAAAACGGTTTTTAAGCGACTACGCATAAAGTACACACAATTCTTAAGTTTTGGAGTTATAGATCTAAAAAGCTAATTAATAATTAGTACTTTTTATATTTACTGATCTTATTAAAGAGAAGACAGTAATTAACTCGAGCGCAAATAAGACAAAAACACACCACGAAGACAATTGCAAATAAATCTATTTTGTATTTGCAGTTCCACGCGTCGGCAACATTGAAATAACTTCGTAGAGTCAGCAAAAAAGGTTGCTTTGTGAAAACATTTCATTCGAAAAACTATTATCAAAGGTTACTTCAACTTTGCTTCTTTCTTTTTCTCACACTTGGGTCACCTATACCCTACCTACAAGTCTTAAATGAGCTCATATTATATTTTAATAAATATTTTTAACTAGCTTTGTCCGCGAGAATCGTTATTTTAGGCATCCAAATTAATTTTCACAAACCCCTCTTTCTTCTCTCTCTTTATAAAATTGAGCGGTTACCGACGACATCGGCCGCGTTCTTTCCCGTCGTTCTTGCAAGTTAATCGTAAAAGGTAGAAATATAGCGTAGCGGATTTTTTTTTTGCATTTAAAGAGGAATCATTCTTCCATATACAATTTTTGGGTACCTTGAACCGTTTTTGCAGCGTACGCCTTATAAACCCATAATGAAGAATATTTTTTCCCCTTTTTTTCACATTACCCGCTGTTTCTTCCCTCCTATTAATTACATCACGATGTATTAATAGCCTGTAGCCGTCCCCGTTAAATGCTTTACCCATGACAATAATTTTTCAATTCGAACCAATAGTTTTTGAGATTAGTGCGTTCAAACAAACAAATTCTGCAGCTTTATATATATAGTATAGATGATAGAGACTAATAAGAAAGGGGAGGTTCATTTGATGGGTGGGGATACAGGTGGGTCTGGAATGTTATAAAAGCGCCTGACAAAATATCAAAGCAAAATCAATTAAGTTGCTCTTGCGCACTGTACACAATAATTTCTTTTGTAAGGGGAAGCTGTAGGCGTAACTGCTTCCGATGTTATTGTTGTTTTAACACTACTAGAATTATGTACAAACTAAATTAAATCTTACATTTTGTTTAATATTAAGTTCACAATACTAGACCGTAACAATATGGAAAAGAGAAACAAAGAAGGCAAAAATGGATATTTTTAAAAGGATAAAATTTTGGATGTTCTAAGTTGGTCCAATGGTGAGAATGTTTGTTTAACTTAAACACGAGCCCTGGTCAAAAATCTCTGGCCTTAGAAATGCCGTGAAGCTACAATAGGTCAACAGCACATCTAGTTAGGATGCTGGGGTATTTCACCTTCCATCAAGGGAACCCCATTGCTCTTGATTGGCTTGTCTGGTATCAAATAAAACCGCTTGTGGTTGTAAAAATATGTACTAATATATATAATTGATTGGACTATATTATTATAGTCCAATCAACTATATATTATAAAACTTTTTAACGGTTTAAAACGCCATATATATTTTATATAGTTACACGTGTTTGAAAACTACGGTCCGATGCTTCGGATGCTTTGAAGCAGCCGTGGTGTTAAAATGTACTCTATTACAGTCATTGATTTCATATTTTAAGTATCTAGACTAAACACCACGGTTTGTAAAAAATGTATTCCGAAGGTGCAAAGTTATACAAGAAGCGTATCGAATTATCTTACAAAACTCAATTTGTCTTCTGTCATTCAAGTTCATCATAAAATGTGTAGTAATTTTGTCATTTGCAAAAAAATGAAAAATTTCTCAGAAGTCACGCTTGTTTTGAATGAAGAATCATTTCTTGTATGATTGTGAAGTATTGCCATTTTGTGTCCCTCTTTAATGTATATAGGTTAGAGAAAGATAGAAGTTGCATGTAATATGTGGCATGCGGCGAAAAATTTTGTGGAAATTACTTTTTATTGCACTTAATTTATAATTTCATCTTACATGAAGGCTCGCTTGATTGTATTTTTTTTCAAAGGCAGAACCTTCCTCGGGAAATAACCTAAACCTTCTAATAATAACCTTTCTGTTTAGTTAAAATTATCAATAACATACTTGTGTAACTTGTAGCTGTAACTAAGTAGCTTTGGGGCACAAAAACACTACTGTGACCATTATGTCGCGTGGTCAAATCTTACGCGTTACATATCCTCATTTCACAAATAACGTTTAGTATTTGTTATCATGTGAATAGAAAATAATAATGAGAATAAGTTTTTATCTGGACCACTTTGTACACCTGAGGTTCCACTAAGTTTATTTTTCTTTCATACATTTTTTTAGATCATTTAAAGAAGAATCATTATTTTGTACATATTTTTTCTTATAACAAATTCAAATTCAAAACGTTTATTGCCATAAAATATATATATTTACAACTTATAACGTATAACTAAATGTGTACATAAAAAGAATAATAATATAGTAATAAATATATAAGAGATGGCAATCGGTACCAGTCTCAGCTATGCTGCTGAATGCTTGTCACACTCAGCAGCGCTGGTTTTCAGACTGGCCCGCGCATAGAAGTAAAGAAGTGATTTTTAGTAAAGTAGTATATAATAAATATAATTCCGAGATTGATATACCCTAGCCAACATATACATTATAGAATAACAATATAACCATTAATTGTTGCACATCTGCTTTCCAAGGAGGTCCAGTTTAACATGCCGCTTGAACGTCGTGAAGGTCATCTCCTTAGAGCTAGCTCTAAGAGGTGGAGGCAGATCGTTCCATATTTTTGAAGCGGCATATTTGAATCCTCCTTGGAAGTTCGATGTCCTGTGCTTAGGGATGAGTAAAAGATTCTGCGTCCTGCCCCTTGTGTTAAGAGAGTGCGAAGTTTCAGCCCATTCTAACTTCTCGTAGAGATAGCGGGGTTTCTCTCTGGATACCAGATTAAACATAAGCCCCGCTAAATGCATCTCCCGCCTTCCCTTCATTTTTAGCAGTTTGTATTTGTTGAGATAGGGGGAGATGTGGGCTCGTCTAGGCATCCCAAAGCAAAACCGGGCACATGCGTTTTGCACTCTCTGTATCGCACGTTCCGTCTTTGCGAACAATCGAGGCCCGTATACAGTGTCACAAAAGTTAAAAGTTGAGAGAATTAGGGACTCCGCCAATGTTAGCCTGACTTTCTCCGTTAAACACTCTCTAATTTTGTATAACGCCTTGAGTTTATAGAAGGCGTTTCGGACTAGATGGCTAATGTGGTCCTCGAATCTCAACTGCTCGTCTACCAGGACTCCGAGGTGTCTGCATACTTTCACTTGAGAAACTGAAGCGTTGTCAAGGCTTATGGTAAATTGTAGGTTTTTTATTAATTGGCATTGTTTCTTTGTGCCCAAAACCATGTATTTAGACTTTGCCGGATTTAATACCAACGCATTCTTGTTTGCCCATGATAGTATAGCGCCCAAATCTTCTTTTATTTGTATTATAGTTTTTTGTGGAGAGTTTGGGTCGATTGCGTAGTATACTTGTGTGTCATCGGCATACAAGTGGATTTTCCCATGCTTAATGTATTGGAGTAAATCGCTAGTGTAAATATCAAATAGGGCGGGACTTAATACTGAGCCTTGGGGACAGCCACGACCAATAGGTTTGACCTCCGATCGAAAACACTCCATCTCTGCGTCAAAGGCGACAAATTGTCTTCTATTGGTCAGGAATGACTTGAACCAACTGCAGGCGTCCTGATCCACACCGTAGTATGATAATTTGGCTAAGAGGAGATCAAAATTGATGCTGTCAAAAGCCCGCGTGAAGTCTAGCAGCACAAGAATTGATCCTTTGCCATTGTCGCTGTTAGATATAATGTCATCAGCGACATGTGCCATTGCAGTAGCCGCACTGTACCCAGCCCGAAATCCTGATTGCACGTCCGGTAGGATCCTCTCTTTCTCCATATATTCGGTGAGCTGCCCAGAAACGACTCGCTCTATGATTTTGGATAATATGGGAAGGATACTTATCGCCCGAAGATCTGTATATTCTTTTACGTCTGTTTTCTTGGGTAGAGGTTTGATTTTGGCCAGTTTCCATGCGTCAGGAAATGTTTGGTTTGCAATGGACATGTTCACCATTCTGGTAATTATGGGAAGTGTGACCGATAAAGTCATTTTTATCATGTTGATTGTTATTTCATCGTATCCTGCAGCATTAGTATGTATGCGTAATATGATTTTTTTTACTGAGTCTGTGGTGCAAGTTTGGATATGAAAGGTTGCGTCGGTGAATTTATTATCTCTAAAACTACTCATATAAGAATTATCAACGATAGGTGGGTCGGGCAATTTCAAAAAGAAGTCATTGATTTCATTGGAGTTACGGAGATGATCTGGAATCAAATCAATGCTGTTTGACTCTGTATTTAAAGCAACTTGTTTAAGATATCTCCACATGCTCTTTGCATTGCTATTTCCATTGACATACTGCGTAAAGAAAGCCCTTTTTTCATTTTGTAAAGCAGTATTAACTACATTTTTTAGGTCCTTATAATATCGCATGTGAACTTCGTTTTTAGATCGTCGAGCCCTATCAAAAGCATCATTTCTAAGTCTCATCATTGCTTTTATTGTTTCGGTAATCCACGGTCTTGGCGATACATTTATACGAATCTTTCTTAAGGGAGCGTGTTTATCAAATAAATAGGTAATTAGTTTGTTAAAACTTTGAACCATCTTATTTACATCTGTTTCGTATAACACCTCATTCCACGGTTGACATTGCAAATCTTTATCAAAGTCTTCTAGTATTATTGTATTCAGCGCGCGGACATATTTATATTGAGGTCGCGGCTTGGGCTTCTTCATTCGCCATTCCGAAATTACCATTGCATGGTCGCTAAGTATAGGGTTATGGACTACCTTAACACATTTACACATGTGAGGGACATCTGTTATTATAAGATCTAAAAGCGTTGCAGATGTGTTCGAGATACGCGTCGGTTCACATACCATTTGATGCAGGTTTTGCTGCATCAACACAGCAGCCAGCTCAGACGATTTGCCCTTCTCGGTGTTCAACATATCAACGTTGAAGTCGGTTAGTAAAAAGACATGCGCACATCGGCCAAACGAGCTAATAGAGTCACTGAGAGCATCCATAGCTAAACCTAACTTCACCGACTCCGGTCTATAGGCGGTGCCGACGGCGATTCTTCCTGCTTTAGGTAGGGATATTTCTAGCCACATCTGTTCCAACGCAGCCGGAGGGTGTGGACGGACGCGAGCACGAAGACCTTTACGGATAAGAAAGCCGACTCCCCCGCCTCTTCTTCCCGATGCTCTTGGAGCGTGTTTGAAAGTATACCCGGGTAAGGGTGGCATGTATTTCTCCATTCCTTCCCTGGTCCATGTTTCATTCAGTGCCAAAATGTCTGGAGAAAATTTTTCTAGGCTAGCATACAATTCGTCCGAGCCGGTGAATAGCGAGCGTACATTCAAGAGAGCTAGAATTAACGAAGTATTTTTATTTCTATATGAATAGATATAGTACAAAAATCCATATAAATAGTAGTACATAAATAACTCATAGAAGTAGGGATCAACCAGAGAATAGTCTATTAATTTACTATTAGGATAAATACATTTTATAATCATAATTGATGTAAAATGGTATTCTATATATTTAATCAGTATGCGTAACTGCGTATATTTTGCGAATAATATATGAAATAGTTCTATTATATTACGTAAGAATCTGCTATGTTTTTTTACACAACTGCTATGCCGGTATGTGGTATATCCTATACTAAGTCTAAGTACAGAACATATTTGAGACTGTCTAAAACTTATAAGCGGCCTTAAAATATTATAAAGCTGTAACACTGTCATAAGCATTAGCCGTACATCAGAAGAAAAACCACTTATACAAAATTCACAACAAATATCAATCACGCAATGACTCATAATTGCTATATTACTTGTGACAGGCGTACCGATTACCTCTTTGCTGTACAGATTACTTAGCTGTTGAGACAAAAGTAAATTTAAAACATTTATAAAGTGATAGAAACGCATTAATCTCGAAAGTATCAATAGTATAACTATAGTATAAAATATAAAAGATGGCACATTCACAAGAAACATTATTAGGTACAATAAATAAAAAATTAGTATTTTACAGTACAAAATAATTATCAACTTAAAGACTAACAAACTTACAGCTATTACAAATACTGAAAATTTGTAGATATACAAGATTTTTTGAAACGAGTGATAAAATAACATTCTAAAGTGTAAAAATAACGTATTCATATTAAGATAATAGTGTAATCTTGTGATATAGCCTAAAATGAACAATGAAATTCTCATATACAAAAAATCTTATTGAGATCACTTTCTGTTTGAATGCACTGAATTTCTGTTGTTGTGTCTTTTCTTACGTAAACTCGTCCGGCCCTAGTCCACACGAAACGCCAGTTATGAGCGGCTCCTTCCTTGCGAGCGAGGTAAAATAGGCGGCGGTTTGTAGATGTAAGTCTCTCATTGATGTATGCTTTCTGGGTCCCGACGCCCAGGTCCAGGTCTGACGTGTCGATGCCTCGTCGACTTCGTGCAGCACGTAATAGCTCATCACGGACTTGTCGGCTTGCAAATCGCACAACAATAGCCTTCGGCCGCCTACCACTGACCACCTCCGAACTGAGCTCACCTGTGCTATGATTATTTGAGTCACCTTGTTTGCCGCGATTGTTGCCCATTCTCCATGCACTCGTAATGGCTTGGTCTTGCAATCGCACACCCAGCTTTTTTGCAATAGTGAGGCTTATGTGTGTCGGATTCTCACCTGGAGTTTCAGGTATGCAAGTGAGTTCGATGTCATTTCTCAGATTATTTTGCTCATATTCGTTTAACCTCCTTTCCAGGGAGGCCACAAGTTCCATCTCACCAGTGTGCGGTTGCTTAACGGCCGCCTGTTGCTCCAGGATGGCGATTTTTTCTTCGGCCCCGGCGAGTCTTACATTAAATTCGTTTATGTAGGTCGATACGCGAGCCAGCTCGTTACGGAAGGCTGATAATTCACTTCTCAGGGTGGAGATGTCTTCCCGTATTAGCCTCACCTCTTGAACGACTTCGTCAGTCCAATTTGCCGTCTTTGTTTTGGGACTGCCATCTGTTGACCGTGGCGCTGGCGGCTTACACTTCTCACATATCCACCTGCCCAAACTAGTTGATGCTACACATAGTTTATGATTTAGACCACCGCATTTAGTACACTTAATGCCTTCTAATTGGCCATTGTAATATTTGTTACACAGTTCGCACTTGTTTGCCATTGCTGATACGGATTGGATTTTTGTTGATCTCCAAAAAAAACAGCAGAAAGCATTAACCCCCACTACGCACTTATTGAACACACTATTAGGAGCAAATTATTCTATAATTTAATTGCTAAATACTACAATAAACTATAATTTTAATTAATATAAGTTAAGACAGTGTCACTTCATGAAGAGGGTAGTTGAGAATTCCGTTTTCGTAGTGCACGAATGATGAATATTTTTTTAAATTTTCCACGTTTCTATCTGTTACTTGGGCCTGGTGTTTTATAGCCAAAAGCATTCCACGAGAAGTGATCGATGAATTTTTCAATTTGAACCCGTGATTCTTGAGAAGAACGCATTTAAACCAACAAACAAACTCTTCAGCTTTATAATATTAGTATATTATCACTCGTATTTAATCTTTATTTATTTATTATTTACATCATCATCGTAATTTATCACGTCCCAGATAAAACGTAGTTTTTCTTACGATTATCTCTTATCAGATTATCTCGAAACAACAAATCAATGTAAGAGAAACAGAACCGAATACATTAGACTATAAAATTCAAATTCCCTTGCGACATTTGAAAGATTAGAGATATATAATTGATCATCTCATGATTCTTCATAGATTTAATATTTTTTGAGTAAAATTTAACTGTAATATATATGTATTAGAGTATATATTCAAATGATTGAATTTTTAAAGATATAAACAAAAGTTATTATTGTAATAGTTTGCTGTGCAAAGTGCGCAGGGACACATTCGTGAAAATGTATTTAACCATGCAAGAAATTACGTTCTTGGCCTTTTTTATCGTCGTGTTGCTATTAGTGCTAATTTATTTGCAGGTCTGTGATTATGTGATTCGAAGATACGTGCTCCATATATTCCGTATGTATTTTTTTTGTTGTTTTATGAATAATATGTGATAAGAAATGCTCATACATTCTAATAAGACACTTAGAAAGGACTACGGGCCTTAATTATAAAAGTTATCTAATATAAATTATACGTTATAAACCGTTAAAGTGTTTTATTACAATAAATATACGTAATAAAATATTTAATTATTTATCTTTTATTCAATTACCCATAAATTAAAGTGGTATATAATATATTCGTTACTCAAATACCTACCTATTTTTAGAGTTTAATTCGTAATGTATTGTTATTCTTCTTTCTTTGTTTCGTAACCCTTGTGATAATGAGATTCTTGTGTAATCTGTATAAGTAATGTCTTTGTATGTGCTGCAAAGCATACGAAACGTCGTGTCGGACCATAGTTAGAATAAATTGTTAGTAAGTTTGAAAACTTTAATATTTTTCATATGATGGCACTATATAATTTAAAGATTGAAAATAAATTGAAAAACATTTCGACACGGGCAGGACTTAAACCGGCATCGTCAGCGTTCCGTGCTGTTGCTCTACCAATTGAGCTACCGAGTCCTTCTCATACTCAGACCTTTTTCAACTTATTGATAAATGCACCTTTCGCGCGTAATTTTAAATTGTTAGTAAGTTGACATTTCGCATTTTAAACCGTTAAATGTATTTTATTCAAATAATCTGTGTAAGTATAGTATACTGGACAAGCGAATCTTCGAAATTTTTACATTTTTGTTTTAATCATTTTATTTAAATCCCAAACTAATTAATGCTACATGTATAGCTAAATTTAAAATCAATATAATTATACAAGTTTTTGATTTAAATAAAACACTTTAACGTTTCCTTAGTTAAACTTATTTAACGTCGGTTTTTTTTTTTTCGCCCCGGGGAAAAAAATTCTTTGCAGCAGCTGTGATCACGGGGAGACTAAAGATGGAGGATGTCTCTGACGTCAAAGTAAAAAATTGCTACGCTAGCGTCTGTTCCATCGAAGTTAGTTTTGGGGAAAAGGGCCGGGCCCTTGAGAATATTAACGGTGCTTCGCGTTGCCGACGTCAAAAAGTCATTTTCAAATAAGTTTAACTAATATATCGCGTTTTAAACCGTTAAAGTGTTTTATTTAAATGTGTACTACTCGCGTAAACTATAGACAGTATTTAAGTTTTTGATTGTAATTTGAATTTGGCGCCAAAACAATAAAGCACTGTCTTTACGAGGCATGTAATCTATATTTTATTAATTTATTATCAAAGATTAGAAACGAAAAGTAATTGTTTAGTGACTGATAATATTTATCAACTTTTGTTTTCTTTCAATCGTGAAATTTGGCGTTGCAGGAATAAATTTAAAATTACAATGAAAAAAAGTTTATTAAAATCATTATATTACATTTTAGGTGTAGCACTACTTCTTACCTTTTGAGATTGAAAAATTCATGATATGTATTTTCTAAAAATATAACGCTCTTGTTCCGCACGATTTCTTAGGAAAATGGATCAAAGTTGTCATGTTGAGTCAAACATGAGCTACATTATTATGAAAGCCAGATAAGAAGATAATTTAATCGCATTGTATTTATATGGAATAGGTATTCGTTTTTTTTTAAGTATCTCAGTGTATGATGAATCCTATCTGCTATTTCAAGCACTAAAAAATTAATAACTTTAAATCAACAGAAAAGAATCTAGGTTACCTATTAAAAATGTTGTAATTAGGCAATGGAATGTGTAAAAATAACGAACCCAGAACTTCTCGCAGCCGTATGTATCATTATTCTAGGATAGAGAAAAAATTAATTACTGATTAGAATCGAGATTATGTATGTTTTAAAAGGAGTTAAAGTTATAACGGTCTATATATGTACTTGCTGTGCAGATAAGAAAACCCGCGATTAATTTCAGTAGGACTAAATCTCTGTATTATCTGTAGCACGGATCGATTTAATTATTGTATTATCAAATCTGTATTGATAACACTTATCATTCTGTGCTGTTCATCCATCGCGTTTCTGTTCGTGAAAAGTTAGCGAAAATTAAAAAAATGGATTATCTTCTGCTCCTGGCTCCCTTTTTTCTATTAGTTTTCGTTTACGGTCTGACGTGTGCGTGCTTGCATTGCTGTGAATTTATCGGTGAGTTTTAATTGAGAATAAAAAACCAATTCGATAAAAACTTAAGAACTAGGTAGGTATCCTTTCAATTCCTTGATGCTTAGACCAACAACTACTACTTTGCTTTTTTTAAGGAGTAGAATATAGAAGAAGTCAATACAAGAATAAATTACAATATGAAATGACATCAAAATTATTCTATATAGCTTCTTTACTTTTTACGACTGAAATATTTGTTGAGCCCCGTGCTTGTCTGTCCTTCTCAGTCAGAAAATATCTATCATATCTAAACCTAACTTTCTGAAAAAAAATAGCATATTATAATTATAAAATAAGCTTTTGAAAGGCTTTAAAACTAAAAGGGCTTGTTCTCGTAGCGACTGTTTATTTCATAAATTTTAACATTTTCGTTCTGTTCGTGCCTTTCAAATAACTTCCTTTTTACAATATATTACAATTTATATCAAACGATATTTGAATGAGTACATAACTTGTTTGTGTTATTTATTTTTTATTATCTAAGTAGGTAGGCGTAATTAAATATTATAATACTATCGAAGATAATAAAACGGAATCCAATCAGAAGCTTTCTACATCCAGTCCTTATATTGATTACTAGCGGCCCTGTCCCGGCTTCGCACGGGTAGACATAAATAAGTACAAATATTTAAATTATAAGTATGCTAATTAAAACGACCTTGAATCACTAAATTAGAAAAAAATTGTATTGCGCGTTCTCTCTGTTAACGACCGTGGTCTATCTCGCTGGTTCAGGAGCCGCTGCGAGCGTTCAGTGTTAGTGTCCCGTTTTTTGTAGATATAATATATTCTATAATATTGTCGAACATTTTTTTGTCTTTGTATGCGAAGAAAGATATTTTACGGCTAATTTTTTTACGCCTTCCGTTGGTTTTAGTAAGAATTTCTATAGATGTCTATAGTAACAAGTACTAACTATAGCTTATGTTACTCAGTGTGGCTTTCTAATGAAAAAAGAAATATTAAAATCGGTGCAGTACTTTTTGAGTTTATCCGTTACATACAAAAATACAAATCTTTCCTCTTTATAATATTAATATAGAAGTAATTTTAATTCAACTAACGAAAAACGTACGAAGTTTGCCAAAAGTCACTTAACATGAGAAATAATAAATTTAATTAAACTAAACATGATGGGATATGTCGCAATGGGGTTTTAAATTAATCGTGATAATATTTAAATTTTGTCCTGTCAATATACCATTTTTATATTTAAATGATTAATTTAACGTTCATATATTTATAATTCTGCCATCTATCGTATGTATATGAAACTTCAACACAGCTTCGCAAGAAATGGATTATCCTGATAATGAGTTACAAAAGTTTAATAATATTCTAAGAGATGGCGCTATCACAATAACATTGTGTTTGTTCCTCTTTTTTAAGTACAGTTGTAACTTAAGGCTTATATATTTTAAATAGTAAGTAAAAATAAATATAAACATGAATCTACACTCTCACTAAAAATTGCATTAAAATCACTCGATTCTATAACTTATTTTCCTGCGAGCACATCCGAGTTAGCTAATCGGAAACCCTGGAAATTCATTACGCCAACTACTTAATTCGTAATTGGTAAGAATACCTGCACACTTCTAAGGCTTAAGTCGGAAATATTCAAAATAAACCCGCTTTACTATTACATAACTGCCCAATGAAAAATCAATAACATAATTATTATATAACCTTATATCTGTACTAAGTTTGTACAACTAGTCGATTAATTAATATTAAAATAATGTAAAAATAAATATGTCTGTAGTTTAAGTAAGCAGTAAACATTTAAATAAAACACTTTAACCGGGCCCGACGTCGGGCGTTTTAAATCCTTAAAATGTGCATTTAAACTATGTAATAATAATAAACCAACAAATTGTATTAACACTCTATTGATGTATTTCATTATAAACATATTCTACCATTACAGACCAATTTCCATTGCGATAGACTTATTATATACAT